TATCACTGACAGCATTATACTTCAGGAGAGATCTTGAAATGTTCTTTTTGATGATGAATGCAATGTCATTCTTTTCAAGTTGTCATTCCCAGCATACTAGACCATATGATTGTCTGATTCAAAATGGCCAATACCAGTCCATTTCAGCTCACTAATGCCTAGGATATCAATGTTTATGCATTCCATTTCATTTCTGACTATTTCCAACTTTCCTAGATTGGCAGTGTAGTGGGGTCCTTCTTCAAGGGTACCAGGTCTCCCATTTGCTCAAGGGTTTATGGGTCTGTAAACTTGCTCAAGTCTGGGAATTGACTGAGGGGCTGTGACTCTCTATTTTTGCAATTCGAGTTACACTGCTGTTCACTTGACCTAGAATTCTTCTGCTTGTACCGATTAAGTAAATATTTAGTAGATATCTGATCTGTTTCACTCCTAGGCACATCATGACTAAGTAGCCATCGCCATAAGTCTATGTGAGTCAGACTATTCTGATTACTGCTTTGACTCTGCTGTCCATTATGGTAACCACGCCCACCTCGTCTTGTGTTGATTGAGTGCCGCCACATCGCCCCTACCACCACGGCATCCAATCAGCCCCATTGTAGTTAGGTGTCTTAATTCAGTTAGGTCAGTTTCCACTGTCAAATCTGACACTTACATAAAATAGCAATCACGGCAGTCTTCAAGGATGCTGAGACTACCTTCACAAATTAGTTCCTCAGCGTTGTGGTAAAAGGTATGTCCTCTTGGCACTCCATGTGTGGATCTGTGGTTATAACCTGATAAATCCACTCTAACATGTTAACTTCCCTAAGGGTTTGGATATCTTCTTCTACAGTATACCAAGCAGGTCTTGCACTTCAACTTGATTTAGTGTAGGTCACTGTGCAATCCATGCTTCAGCAACCCAATCCTATAAACCATTAGATCCTTTCCCAACCTCTTGAGCTGAAACACAGAATGAAGAATCTGTGTTAAGTGGACTCCTATCAATAAACTCAGACTGACCCATCTTTATGTTCCTTGCATCATCATCCCACATGCTTAACAGGCATTCCCATACATATTCCCCAGGTTTCTGTTTGTACATGTTAGAAAAGTTAAGCATTTCTTTCAGAGTGTAGCGTACCTCCTCCTGGGTCATACTTTGTACTTCACCTTTTGGGTCTCACTGGGATTTAAGTCTAGTTATAGGTCTAGGAGCCAAAATGCATGGTAAGGATGTGTTCTGAGAACATTCAGCATTGTCTTGTAAGTCATCTGCCTCAGGCAATGCCCCAGGCAATGACTCAGACAAAGGATGTTTAGACACAGCTGAATTAATATTGTCAGATGGTGGTGGAGGGACTAATGGCTTTACTGGGGAAGATGGCTTAGCAGACAAAGATGGAGTAATCTCTTCAGATGGGAGTGAAAGGGCTGGTTCTGTTGGCAGAAGTGACTCAACAGAATTTGGGAACATTGTCCCAGCTTCCTGATTAGTTGCTCATATGCCCAAGTTTCAGCATTCCATTTCTTTCCAATCAATGCCCTCACTTTAACTTCAGACACCACTTGAGGTTGGAAATTCATTTGATATTATAATTCAGCCATTCTTACAATAAGACTCTGGGTTTGGTTTTCAGCAATATCAGCTCTGTTACTATAAGAAATAAGGCTTTGTTTCAAGGCACAAGTGGAAACATTGAGGAAACCTTGAGGTCATTTATGCGGTGTGTGAGCTTTAAGTCCGATGTCCTGAGCTCATCTCTTTCTTTCAACATTTTGTCTAGTGAAAGTAGGATCAACTAACCAGCTTCCTTATACTTCTCACTATGAAAAAATTGTAGAAAGGTATCAAACATGAGACCACCCACAGCCTCCCTCTCACCAATACTTGATGTATTGGTGGTGATATTTCGCATAGTTCTGTTACCACCTCATACCATGGATTAGCAGTATCCTCTTTACTACTGGAAGCAGAATCATCAACATCTTTAAGATTAACCAGACCTGAGAATCAATTAAGAAAACTCATCCTGACAATTTTGTTTCTCTAGAACTACTCTTGGTACCAAATGTCTTAGGCTGGGTTCTCTAGAGAAGCAAAACCAGTGAAGCAACTATATATGGAGAGAGAAAGACAGAGATTTATATCAAGGAAATGGCTCATGTGGTTGTACAGACTGGAAAGTCCCAAGTCTGTGGGTCAGGCTGGAGGCTTCTCCTGACTCATGTAAGTGTAGAGGCTTGAGGATCCCAAGATCAGCAGTTCAGACAACAGACCTCTAGCTCTCAGGCTGCAGAAGCTGATAAATCCCAGGTAAAGTGTTAGCTCAAGTGCCAAGAACTGGAGGTCAGATGAATAGGAGCCAGCTGCAGGGTCCAGAGTGAGCAAAACCCCACAAGCCTTGCCAGAAAGTCCATCTATATTGGATGTAGGCCACAATCCCAAGGAAAATTCCCTTTTAAATCATTGGCTACACACAGCAGATCCCATCATGGAGGTGATCACATTATATCAGATCTCATCATGGAAGTGATTACATCATTATACCACTGCCAAACTACATTATAACTGCCAAACCACTGAGAATCATGGCCCAGGCACATTGATACACAACCTTACTGATCACAGTGTGAAAAAGCAAAGATATCACTTTGAGGACTAAGTGCACCTGATACAATCCATGGTATTTTCAATCACCTCATATGCATATGTCTTAGGCTGGGTTCTCTACAGAAGGAAAACCAGTGAAGCATATATGTATATATATATATATGTATATATATATATAGAGAGAGAGAGAGAGGGAGGGAGGGAAGGAAGGCGAGGGGGGCGGAGAGAGAGAAAGAGATCTATATTAAGGAAATGGCTCATGTGGTTGTAAAGACTGGAAAGTCCCAAGTCCATGGGTTAGGCTGGAGGCTTCTCTTGACTCATGCAGCTGCAGGGGCTGTTGAAGTCAAGATTGGCCAGTAAGACGGCAGGCCACTGGCTCACAGGCTGCAGAGGCTGATGAATCCCAAGATCAGCAGGTAAGCTGCTAGCTCAAATCCTAAGAACTGGAGGCAAGATGCATGATCCAAAGCGAGCAAAAGCCAGCGAGCAAAAGCCAGTGAGCTTTGCCAGAAAGCCCAAATATATTGGATATAGGCCACACCCCCAAGGAAACTCCCTTTCAACTGATTGGCTGCTTATATCAGATCTCACTATGGAGGTGATTATATCATTACATAGCTGCCAAACTACATAACTGCCAAACCACAGAATCATGGTCCAGCCAAGTTGACATGCCATCTTAACCATCACAGCATGCGAAAGCTGTACAATGAATAAGGAAGACTGAAGAAGAACTGATGCCTTTGAATTATGGTGTTTGCAAAGAATATTGACTATCCCATGGATTGCCAGAAGAATGAACAAGTCTGTCTTTGAAGTAGTACAGCCAGAACGTGCCTTAGAAGTGAAGATGGCAAGACTTTGTCTCGTGTACTTTAGACAGACGTGTCATCAGGAGGGACAAGTCCCTGGAGAAGGACATCATGCTTTGTAAAGCGGAAGGTCAGCAAAAGAGAGGAAGACCCTCAACGAGATGGACTGACACAGTGGCTGCAACGATGGTCAAGCATGACAACGATTGTGAGGATGGTCCAGGATCATGTTTTGTTCTGTGGTATATAGGGTCTGTAAGTGTTGGAACTGACTTGACAGCACCTAACAACAACAACAACAACAACAAAGTCATTGGTAACCTTGACAAGAGCTGTTTGGATGGTGACAGCCTGTTTGGAGTGGGTGCAAGAGAGAAAAGGAAGACAGACAGTCAATATTCAGTACATAGAATTCTTTTGGAGTAGAGAAATGGGATGACAGCTAGAGGGGTTGTTGGGCCACGGAAGTGTTGGTGTTGCTGTTTTTAATAAGATTTCCGTTACACATTTGTGTGCTGGTAAGAATAATTCAGTAAAGAGGAAAACCTGCTGAGATAGGATAGGTGTGGACAGCAGAAAAGAGGTATCTGACCAGGCAAGAGGCGATTCAAACCTAGTGTACAATGGAAGGTCTAGACTTAGGATAACAGGAGAGAAGATAAAATATACTGGCACAAGGCAATCAGGTTGAGACATCTGGTGATGTGATTAGTAGATTTTTTTTTTTTCCTGACAGCTTCTACTTCCTCAGTGGAAGAAGCAAGTTGATCAGCTGAGATCAAAGAATGGGGAGAAAGAATTGGAGGTTTGAGGATAAAGAAAAAGGTGTGACATACTTAGTCTGGAGACTGGGAGAGTGACTTGCCCAGGGGAATGGGGCAGGACTGCTGAACAGCGCTAAGGGACTATATGAGACTAGAGGTCAAGGGTTTAAGGTGAGACCTGGCAGCATGCTTACATGTTTTCTCCAGGCACATTCAGTAAGTAGCGTAAGGGCAGAGTGGGCAGGGAGCTGGATTCAACCAGGGTGGGGTCTCAACATTAAGATAATAAGGCAAAAGTATAAAGTACCACTGTTTATTTTCTGATCTGAAATAAGTATACAACTCTTATTTTTCTAATACATTTGCTACCATTTATTGATGCTGTTATGATTCTAAGTTGTATCATTATTCCCTTTGTAGCCTTTCTCTATCTTTTTCCTGATGAAGAAATTCCAAGCAATGAAGGCAGGTGCATGGGAAACAGAGGGAAGATGAATTAAATCAAGAGCTAAGAAATAAGGACACTCAATCCACATACATTGGATAAGTTTTCTATCTTTTCTGAATTCTTTGAAGAGAATCTGATTCTTCCTTAAGGAGATTTCATTTTGTAATTCTGAACTTTCACAGAATCGTATAAGTAACAAAGCTTATCTTGTTATTTCCCAATCATTCATTACTTATCCAATTTAACCAGAACTTGCATTGAGGATCAATGATATGTGAATAGCTGTTATTGGTTTCAAAGACAACAGAAGATGTGTAACAGAAAAATAAATTCAATCTTGGAGGCTGTATTTTATAGAAGACACTATAACTCACCTCACCAAGATGTGAGTCCCCCAAAGGTCCTTTAGTTTCTGGGTTAGCAATTATGATCCGAACCCCTGGAAGTATCTGTTTTAGAAAGGAGAGAATTCTAGTCAACGGACAGAAAGACAGGGAGATAGTATGCAAAAATGAACCTTAATCTTATCATTGTGGCATTTGTCTACTTTCCTTTCTAAAAATCTTTCAGAAAGTAGTATGGCAGTAAGTAAACATTACATACAATAACATTTACATAATTATAGCATAATGCTTACATTTTCATTGTAATTTTTACTACAATGATATAGCCTGTGCTAAAGTGATCTTAGAATTTGGAGTTTTGAACAAAAACATGATAAGTAATATAACTTATTTGACATAGCCTGACGTGCAAAAAATGAATTTTCGGTTATTTCAGTAATTTAGTTCCCTTAAATTGAACATTGTGCCTGACATCATGGTCCGAAAGCACGAATGATAGGTGAGGCTGCATCAGTCTAGAAACTAAGGAAGTCAGGCAGTGAAGTTCTCAGGGGTGAGTACGGAGTCAAAAATAACCCAGCAGGCAAAACAATTTTGTAGAAAGCTGCTTTTGTGCTAGCCAGAAGTAAAAGGCTTAGTGTCCACTGCTAGTATGCTCTGGACTTTTATTTATAATTAGAGTGTCTGCACTGATCCCCATCTCTTCTCCATCATATTTTCAACTCAGTTTATTGGGGAACTTTTTCCCATAGGTAAGCATCTTTGATTATAATGGATGTTGATATTAAACACCTCCTTATTAAAGCAAGTTTAGCTTAGAAAATGTTCCAAATTCCACCGATAGCACATATATAAGGAAGCAACATCTCATGCTAGCAATCTAGAATATAGCCTGTCTCAGTTCAGCTAATTTAACATTATATGGTTGAAATACGGCAAAACATCTGAAACATGGTCAAAACACAAAAAGTCTTGGAACACAGTTATCCTGCACCTTAAGTCTGAAGTGCGACTTTGAAAACTGGTCTTCATTGTTGACTAAAATTCTGCCAGAATGTGTTGAGAATCTGGCAGATGAGTACTATTTTACATTATTAGAACCAAATCAGTAAGAAGAATTCTAACTTTTGGTTACGTAGACATAGATGATGAAAGGTCCTGAAGCAACATGAGATGCTTTTAGAGTCTGACCTCCATTCAGGGAGCAACTGAGATAACTGGGACCAAACATTTTTAAATCTTCATATCAGTTTAAATAGGTTTCCTGTCCTGTAGTACTATAAAAAATAACCACTGTGTCAGAAACTACTAGTTATCCCCTGATATCCATTCTTTGTCTATTTCCATAGTAATAGGTAGCCTGATTTCTAGCTGTTTTTGTTGTTGTGTGCTCTCAAGTTGATTCTAACTCATAGTGACCCTGTAGGACATAGCAGCACTGCCCCATAGGGCTTCCTAGGCTGAAATCTTTATGGCAGCAGATCGCCAGGTCTTTTCTCCCTCAAAGCAGCTGGTGGGTTCGAACCAGCAACCTTTCAGTTAGTAGCCTAGAGCTTTAACCACTGCGCCACCAGGGCTCCTTGATTTTAGCTAGACCCACAGATATTCAGGATCAATATAGTATTTCTCAATTTTCCTTTCAGCTAGATGTGACCATGTGACTAAATTTTGGCCAATGGTATAAAGTATGATTATGGCAGCTTATGGGATCCTCCCTTAAGGTTTGCACCTTTCATCTCCTTTTTCTGTTTCTCCTTCTGGTAGTTGGAATGTGGAAATGATGGCTGGAGTTGGAACATCCATTTTAGATCCTGAGGTGACCTTGGGAATGGAGGCCAAGTAGAAAAGAATAAGACAGAAGGAGCCAGGGTCCCTGGTGATTTCATGGAGCAAAGTTACCCTATCAGCTCTTTTACATGAGAGAAAAATAAATTTCTAACTTGTTTAAAACACTATTTTGAGTTTATGTACTCATGATCAAACCTAGTCTTAATATATTACTTTCAAGAAAACTTTTTGGAAGAAAAATTCTATAAAATACATTTCTTAAAATTTCAAAGCATATACACTCAGGCTGACACATACATAGAATCACAGATTTCTTCCTTTAATACTTACTTTCCCTGATTCCATTAGGGGCAAACTATGAGGCGATCCTCTTTCTACTAAGCGTACTCTGTAAACATAGAAACAAGAAAGTATTAGTGACTATGTTTCCTGTACCAATAATTCTCTTCCATAACTATCAGTACTTGGTCATGAGCCCAGCAGGTTGTTAGGAAAAAAAAAGAACCATTGCTGTTGAGTCAATTCTGACTCATAATAATCCTATAGGACAGAGCAGAACTGCCCCAAAGGGCTTCCAAGCGGTGGCTGGTGGATTCAAACTACTGATCTTTAGGTTAGGGAATGTTAATTTTGTTGGTGAACATTATTTCATGGAAAGATAGCTTAGAAGTCTACGAAAATGCTTTCAGATAGCAGAGTGCAACTGTGCACTGGCAGGGCAAAATAGCAAGAGTATAACCATGAGGGCTGCAGAGAAGAGAGGTGTGATGAGCAATGATTGTTTACATTGTGCTCCTCAAACACTGATCTGTTCTAGAGGCCAGGTACACAATAATGCGCATTTGGAAATGCTCTACATTCAGATACCAGGTAGGAGAGATTAGGGCCATTTATAGTTTTTAAAACTAGCAATATATATAACTGGTAGTCCTTAGGAAACAGGAAATGTTGGTTAAGAGGAGAGCTTCCATGCCAGTGGCAATGGAATGAAATCTGAAATGAAAATCTTAAGTCACATTTATGAAATTAGTGAAGTAATTGAAACAGTGATTCTGCACGTAAAGTAACCAAGATTCAACTTCATATTTGCAGAAAAGAGAAAGAATGAAGATGAAATCGCATCCTTGGAAGAGCTGCCAATCAGGCAGTGACAGTGGAATCTGTCCTGAAGTGCTCACACCTCTGCCTATGCACAGGGCAAACACATAAGTTTGGGAAGGCAACACCCAGTTACAGCACCATGGAATCCATCTATCTGTGTTTGTGGTGTGTAATGGTAGAGCTCAAGACAGGACTGGCTAATTCAGATGGCAAAACTTCCTTTCAGAAAAGAAACTTTATTAATTTAAGAAATATAGTAATTTTATCTTAATAACTGCCAAGGATATAGCTCCCAATCCCAATCAGAGCTAGCTAACACTCCTTCTCAGTTGAATTATTTTTAATATTTTATGGTCTCTATTACCAGTTTTACTTTTCTACCATGTAACTAGAATATACTGCTGTTTGTTCATCTAAAAGGCAATTTTTATTTAAATGAAATAAACTGAAGGAGAAAATGCTTGAAAACTAAAACAGAGAATGAGTTCTGTCGGAGAACATCTAGCTCAGCTGGCATAACATAGTTTATAAAGAAAATGTTCTACATTCTACCTTGGTGAGTAGCATCTAGCGTCTTAAAAGCCTGTAAGCGGCCATCTAAGATACTCCACTGGTCTCAACCCGTCAGGAGCAAGGGAGAATGAAGAAAACTAAAGATACAAGGAAAAGATTGGTCCAAAGGACTAATGGACCACAACTACCATGGCCTCCACCAGATTGAGTCCAGTACAACTAGATGGTGCCCGGCTATTACCACTGACTGCTCTGACAGGGATCACAATAGAGAGTCCCGGACGGAGCTGGAGAAAAACGTAGAACAAAATTCTAACTCACAAAAAAAGACTAGACTTCCTGGCCTGACAGAGACTGGAGAAACCCTGAGAGTATGGTCCCCGGGCACCCTTCTCGTACAGTACTGAAGTCACTCCTGCGGTTCACCCTTCAGCCAAAGATTAGACAGGCACATTAAACAAAATAAGACTAAAGGGGCACACTAGCCCAGGGGCAAGGACTAGAAGCTAGGAGGGGACAGGAAAGCTGGTAGTAGGGAACCCAAGGTCCAGAAGGGGAGAGTGTTGACATGTTGTGGGGCTGGTAACCAATGTCATAAAATAGTATGTGTACTAACTGTTTAATGAGAAGCTAGTTTGTTCTGTAAACCTTCATCTAAAAAAAAAAAAAAAAAAAGAGTTCTGGATGAGGAGAGAGAATAATCTCCCTTCCTGGACCAGCCTTATCCACAGGGACAGAAGAGGGTTATTAACAGGTGATTTGGGGTTAGAGGATAAGGATAATGGGTTATGGGGATAACCCATTCTCATGCCTTAAGCACAAGATCTTCCTCTGTAACTAATACATGTTGCTGAAATGACAGAAATAAGGAGAGGAAGAGGGAGAAGGGAGAAAGCACCAAGGAAAGAAATCCTCAGCTTTTGCTAAGGGCCAAGCCTGCTGCCTTCGGTAGGACGAATTCCAGTAGAAGGCCAGCTGTCCTCCCTATGTCCTCTGTGGTACATGGCTGATGCTTTGGTAGCTTGGAAGCTCCTGTTATTGAACAAGTAATTGAAGAAGTTTCTTCTGCTGGCTCTAAGTGCTTTGTGGACAACACTATTATTATTTCTTTTTTTATTGTGCTTTAAGTGAAAGTTCACAATTCAGTTAGTTTCTCATACAAAAATTTATACACACATTATTATGTGACCCTAGTTGCTCTCCCTATACTGTGACAGCACACTCCTCCTTTTCACCCCAGGTGGACATTATTAATACGAGTAACACTGCATGTGCCAAACAGACATGGTGCCAATAAATGAGGGAGAGACCTTTGCGGAAGCTTAAGCTTGGCCGCAGGAAGAGCCTCAGCAGGTGCTCACAGCTACTACTGCAGGGTCCCTGAGCAGTGCAAATGGTTAATGCACTGCTGCTAACTGAACGGTTGGAGATTCAAGTCCACCCAGAGGTGCCTTGGAAGAAAGGCCTGGCAATCTACTTCTGAAAAATCAGCCTATTGAGCACAGTTCTACTCTGACACACATGTGGGGTCACCATGAGTTTAAGCTGACTTGATGGCAACTGGTTAACTGGTTACTATTGCTTGCTCAAGGGCTGTCTGTAGCCAGGAACACCATTTCCCTCTGGCCAAGCCCATGATGCTCTGAGCATTCAGCAACTGAAAAACTTTAACTTTTAGTCAACAAGATGCTCCGCTTCTCATCTAGTCTGTGATGTAACTTCTAATGCTGCTTCAGAAAAAAGTAGCCTGTGAAGGAGTAAATCACTACAGGTTGGGGGTGGGGGCAGATGAGGGGAAGACTAACGTTTTCTCCTCAGCATGGGAATGTGGAAGAACTACTGGAGAAGTAAGACACCTAAAGAGCTTCAGCAGTAATCTGATGAGGTAAAAGAACTTACTGTAGCAATTTTGGAACAGATGCCAACCACGAAAATTTATGGTATATGTACTAAAGAAAAACCTGGATGCTGACAGCTGCATATGAGGGCTATCAAAGAAAACCAAACTGGATCATAAAACTATGCAAGCTGTTCTAGAATATGCCAACAGACTTAATGAATTAACCTTCAAAAATAAATTACTGGCTGCACTAATGTAAACTATAAGAAACTAGAGATGTTTTAGGACCCAGGTAGCATTATGCTAATTTAGAGTGGGTTATTACTAAAACTTTGGAAGAACGTCCTGACGATCTACTTCCAAAAAACCAGCCATTGAGAGTTCCGGCAAGATGGCGCTCTAGGCAGAAACACCACGCCGTCCCTCCACAACAAAGATCCGAAAAACTAAGCCAAACAGAGAATCAACAATCCTGAAACCCTAGAACATCAAATGAAGAGATA